GTACAGACACATCACCTAGTAACAAGGACAGTTTTATAAAGCAAACTCTCAGTCCTTAAAAGGCACTTAAAATCAGTATCATGGCATACAGAAACAATAGGGTGATCTTATATGGATAATGATAATAGGAAATATTCATTTTATAAGTAGAAAATATAGCATTTCAACTTTGGCCATTTGCTGAGATCCATAATAATTTTCATAAATTTCACCTTTGTGTTCCACTTTACATAATGGTACTCATTACACAGAAAGATGATCTATAAAGATGAAACACAAAGGAGGTCTGTTCCTAACCCTGCACCAAGTATGTATTTGTAATTCAAAATTGTCTATGGAACCACAAAAAAGAAACACAAAATTTCTACCTTTAGACTTGGACATCAAGATAAGAACTACATATGAAGAATCCATTCTTAATCGACCTGCAAGTCCTGTCCATTCTTACCTCTTAAAGAACTCACTTGTCGTTCTCCCATCTCCAGCACCATTGTTAAGTAACTGTGATCTATTAGCTTACTTGATTAGAATATACTTCTAACCACCTTTGGCCCAAGCTATGATGTGAGCTTGCCTGGAGTGTTACATTAGCTCCCAGCTGAATCAGTTGCCTGATCCTCTTCATCCTTCACTGCCACCCCTCAGCCAGTTACCCTAGTCTCAACCCACACACTCTCTCCATTCTAGTCACACCAGCCGTTCTTCCTCCCTGTGCTTGCCAATACTTCCTTCTACCACAAGGCCTCTAGGTATGTTGTCCCCCTTCCCTGGAATGCTCAGCCCATCCCTTTTTGCTACTCATTTTTCAGATTACAGCTCCAGTCCCCTGAGGGAAGCTTTTCTTAACCTCTCATTATAAGCTCTTATAGCTCAGCTCATAACATTTACCATTCTTTTAATATGGTATGATTATTTGATTAATAACTAACTGACCCCATTCCTACTAGCCTGCATCATGAGGGCAAAGACCACCTTTGTTTTGTTCACTTGTGTATCCCTAAGCCTAGCACAGTACCTGGATCTACAGGTTGCTCCTCAAATATTTATTGAATAAAGATTTTAAAATACTTTCAAAGAAAAATGCTTATTAAGGCTAATCAATAAAAAGTTACATTCTTCTCCGTCAATAATGCACGCACATATGTATTGCTATTTCATGATGGTGGTGATGGAGTTGCACTACTCCACCGGCTTGCTCAAGCCCATGTGAAACACAGAATTTTAAATATTAGCTGGAATCTTGACTCCTTAAATACTGTTTTTGAACACAAAATAAATGACAGCTAACTGGTTTTAGAAGCTATAAACCCATGAACTGAGCTTCATTAAAAGTATATTCTAATCAAGTAAGCTAAGATAGCACAGTTACTTAACAAATTGAAAAAATTTCATTAATACGCTTGCCACTAAAAATAACATGTTTCTCCCTTGCAGTGGAATTTTGTTGTAGTAATACATTCCCAGCATTGGAAATTTTAAAAAAGTAGCTTTTGCCTAGGCTGGCTGTCTTTTGGAGATAAATGTTTTGCAAAAATGCAGTGAGTTGCAAATAAATACACCGAATGCAGCAGGACAGTAAAGTGGCCTTCTAAAATATAATAACGTACCTCACATATCTTCACCTGCTCTTATCCTATCTTCCGAGACTTTGTAAGTTATAGTGGTGTTTCTCTGGCTAAAGTAGCTGCTACTACCATGCCTGCCCTCTTTTCTTACCTAGTCCTTCACCAGAACTCTTCCCAAAAATGCCACCCAGCAAGCGGCATACTGTCAACAGACATCACTGCTCTCCTAGTCCCAACTAACAGTATCAACTAACAGGGAGTTTGCAAAATACATTCAGAAGTTAGAACTTGAACCTCTCCATATAAGGAGCAGACCACGGATTTGCAAATAAGAAAAAAGCCATCAGATTTTAGACTGATGCCACAGTGCATTATGTAAGAGGAGATTCACTGTGTTTTAACAGAAAAGACTGCTAGACTCTGCCAGGTATAATCAAGGATCTAGCCCCAGTTCTTTCTCTAATTGTAATAACTGACACAAGTCACCTAATTTTTGTTTTAATCTGTAAATCAGAAGGACTAGATCGATGTTTGTCAACCACAGGCATTTTTGTACCCCAGGGGACATCTGGCAATATCTGGAGACACTTCTGGTTGTCACAACTGAGGGGTGAGTATTAATCATGTTTTTTATTTTCTGAATTTTATGATGCTTTGACATCTTCAGGGACTTGCTAATCCTGGTGAGACTGCCCTTCCCAGGGCTAATTCCTAGGGATAGCACTATTCCTCACTTACCAGTCCCACCCCATGAACACACCTTTCATATACAAACCAACCAATCCAGGGCCCATAACAGCAACCACTTTTATCTCTCACATACCAAGCCAGTATTTCCCCTGCCCTAAATTGCCCCGGGGCTAGGTATCAGACAACAAAAGACCACTTTCATAGCCTCCGGTCTGTTGAAATTATTTAAACTATCCAGTCCTCAACTTGCTCAAACTTGTCCACCCTGCTTCACTCATTCATTCCCCGCAGAAACCACAATACAGGCTCTGGGACATGCTTGCTCCTTGCTCTTTCTGCCTCCTAACTGGCCCGGGGGCTTCTCCATGTGCCCTTGCATGGCATGGTATGTCTCCTGCTCTTGGGAACTGTAAGTAATAAACTCTTCCTTCAAGGCAGTTGTCTCTGTGTCTGTCATCTATTACCATACCTGACTGAAACAAAATCCCAGGTACATTTTAAAACAGGGGGGTGTGCTACTGGCATGCAGTGACTAGAGGCCAGGGGTGCTGCAAAACACCCTCCAATGCACAGGACAGCCCCCCACAACAAATTATCCAGCTGTAAATGTTAAAGTGTCAAGGTTGAAAAACCCTGCAGTAGATCAACTCTTATGTTCCTTCTCACTTTAAAACCATTTGATTCAAATAGGTCTAATAGATTGAATTGCCCATAGAATATTGCTGTTAACATGATAAAAACAGTTAAAAACACTGTTATCCTGAGTAATTGCCCAGACTTAAGTGTACTGAAAACTTTTCTTTATAATACAGTTAAGAGATTTGATCTATAGTACAGACACATCACCTAGTAACAAGGACAGTTTTATAAAGCAAACTCTCAGTCCTTAAAAGGCACTTAAAATCAGTATCATGGCATACAGAAACGTGGTTAAAAAAAAAAAAAAAGCTTAGCAAATAACCATTACCTTCAGATTCTCCATTCACTATGTCCCCCATATCAGACAATAATAATTCAATAAGGTTAAGGGTCTCTACCATAACCTTGTGTAATTTATAAAACAAACGACATCTACTCTGCAAATTTAAAACATATACACATATTCAGGTCTGTTTCACAGTGGACTGCTTGTATTGCCAAGAGGCTACTTATCTATTCTACTAATGACTAAAAACTTATTCAATTTGGTCAGCATCTTTCAGAAAGGTAACAATTAGGTTTAAGGTCATAAAGAACCTTCGGGAGGCATTCTGTGCTGGAGCCATCCTGGCATAGAAGTTCTGAAGAGACATGGAGGTGTCTCATATATCAAGGAACTAACCATCTACGCTGCATCTTACTAAAGATATCCCTTCCTGCACAGAGAAAAATGATGTCTTAGAGCAGAAAAAATTTCAAACATCAGGAGATGTTTGAAAATTTGAAAATACGGATGTTGTAGAAAATAGTTTAAAACAGTCTTGTCAGTAAACAAATGGAGGCAAAAGTGGGGGAACTGGAAAAGAAGCAAAAGGCAAGTTCATTTGGATGAAGAGGAGCAGGGTGTGGAGGGTGCCAGGGAAGTCATGGAACAGCTAACTGCTCAAAGGCAGCTACTTAGTTTCAAAGGATTTGAGAAGTTATTTCATTTATCTTTAGCAGCTAACACTTACCTCGGGGTCAAGATCATCCAGAACAGTTTCCAGTTGTTTCAGTTCTGTTTCTGACAGATTCCCAAGGAGCTCATCTTCATCAAGGTCCTTGTACTTTTCCAAGTCCTTCCGGAATGGTAGTGCCATGACTTGCAGTGTAGTCACTTAATTTTTCTATTCAGTACAGTCAGAAGTAATTTCTACTTTTTCTTAAAACTATAGAGAAAAGAAATAAAAACATTTTAAATATTAAGTAATGTCCATCTACTTAGATCTATTATTAGGTTAAGTGAAATTTAATTCCATGTGTCATATACTCTTTTTTTTTTTTTTTTGAGACAGAGTCTCACTCTCTTGCCTGGGCTAGAGTGCCGTGGCGTCATCCTAGCTCACAGCAACCTTAAACTCCTGGGCTCAAGCGATTCTCCTGCCTCAGCCTCCCGAAGTAGCTGGGACTACAGGCATGCGCCACCATGCCCGGATAATTTTTTCTATATATTTTTAGTTGTCCAATTAATTTCTTTCTATTTTTAGTAGAGACGGGTCTTGCTCTCTTGCTCAGGCTGGTCTCAAACTCCTGAGCTCAAGCAATCCTCCCGCCTCGGCCTCTCAGAGTGCTAGGATTATAGGCATGAGCCACCGCGCCCGGCCTCATATACTGTTGAATCATATATGACATACTACCTTGCCTATGGATCTTTCAATGCCTTTTACCTTTTGTCTTTTTTTTTTTTTTTTTTTAAAGATAGGGTCTCACTCCATCTCCCTGGCTAGAGTACGGTTATGTCATAATAGCTCACTATAGCCTCAAACTCCTGGGCTCAAGCGATCTTCCTACCTCAGCCTCCCAAGTAGATGAGATTACTGGCATGTGCCACCACACCCGGTTAATGTTTCTATTTTTTGTAGAGATGAGGTCTCGCTCTTGCTTAGGCTGGACTCAAACTTCTGGCCTCAAGCGATCCTCCCACCTCAGCTGCTAGGATTACAGGCAAGAGACACTATGCCCAGCCACCTTTTGTCTCTTCTTGAGAAAAAAATCAACTGGGGAAAAAAGAGGGGAAGGATTGAATAAAATTCAAACCCATTAAGACAGCTACTTGATAGCATTTAGAATTTCTGATAACTGAATTTACGGGAAAAGAAATTATAATGTGTGCCAAAATAAAAGTTTTTCTATCAATGACTTTGAAATTATTTTACCAGAGTACTTTGCTTCAGTACAGTATGTTGAAAGCATACTTATTTTACTATAAATTGTTTAGGAGAACAATATGATGCAATGTTAATACAGGTGGGATATCAATACACTCCCCATGGAGGGAGTGGTCTCTTGCCACCGGAAAAAAAGTTTTTTCAAAAGTTGCATTTGAAAATATTTTTCTGAAAAGGTATTTTTAAAGGAAAAAATACAGCATTCTGAAAATATTTCAGTAAAATACTGAAAATCATGCTGGGATATGTCACCCACTGATTCACAAGGTTGGTTAAGATGGTCTGACTATAGGAAGGACTATCATCATTTCCTCACTTTGAGGTTAATAAAGCAGGTTAATATTAATAGAAGGTCTGAAGAGACACACAGCTTGGTGTATATCAAAGAGCTAACCATTTGCTGCTACAGCACAACTGTTCCATAGGAAAGGATACTTAAAATAAGTCACATGTAAAATGAGAAGTAAAAACTCAGTATTTCCATAAATTCTAGCCATATATGTGGATTGTCTGTCTCATAAAACGTACCTCTGAGAGTAAGAAATAATCCTTAGACTTAGTGATTTGGCTCAATTTTTCTTCGCTGCAAAATGCCCAGTACTTCAAAGTTTGACTTATTTCCTTTACTCCCCCCTTCCCCCCAAATTTTCCCAACTTAATATTTTAACTAATATATTTTGTCTGCACACCTGTAACTTTTAAGGATTGTTGTGTTTTCATCTCCTACGAACAGAACTGTTCAAGCCATATTTGGAACGGAAGGCTCACCGCAGGGGTCTGACAGCTAGCAACCTGACTAGCAACCACCTCAGGTCCAACAGGGAGCAAATGAACGAATTTGCTTGTGCAGATGTTAAACTGCAGGCATTTTGTGTAACTGCTCAAGACAGGTCTGGCTGACACCTGGTCTACCAGCACCTTTCCTGGTTTACTAGTTAAACTGGATTTTTTTTCCTTTTCTTTTCTTTATAATTATCATCATTGTCATTACTAAGCTTGTTAAACTTCCACTTTGTACTTCCAACTTTAAAATCGCAAGCTTACAAATATTCTGAGAGTGTATTTTCTCCACTAAAAACAATACAGCCTGCAGAGAAGATTCAATGGGAGGTAGCATTTTCAAATATATTAAGTATAAAATGTAATTTTGAAGAAGGTAGCAGGCAATTTCAAGGGACAAAAATTAAAAATAAGAGGACTTTGAAAAAATATTCCCTTTATAAAAATATCAGTGACATGGTATTTCAGACAGCTAAGGGTAAGAAACTGATAAAAGTATACGAATATGTACCAAGAATAATGTAGCTCACGCTGTTCTTTCAAATGTTTAGATAAACGACATTTTAAGTTTTTAATGTGCTTTAATATAATTTATTTTTGAAATTTATATATGAACCAATTTCTTAATCACACATATTTAAAAATATATAAACATAATTTTAATTATTTTGAGCATCCCCTCACTTTAAATTCAAGATTATCCCAGTACAGGCCATAAATTCAATGGTCACCCTACAAATAAGGCTTTCTAATGGTCAACACAATAGGAATGAGATATTAGGGGCAAATGTGGGTTATATGCCACTCAGGTTCTATAATGTTCTCCATTCCATGGAGAGACTAAATGGCTTACTCCACAATTGGTTCTCCTAATCCCAAAGTAAAATCTATCACACGAAGCTTGTTTATAGTATTGCTTAAAGAATAATGAAATGAGAACACACTGCCCAGCTTAGGAGAGAGAACATTACTAGTACCCTCATACTCTCTAGTTGCATGCCCTCAGCAAAGAAGTAGCCATTATACTGATTTTAATTATTCTCTTGCTTTCCTTTAGTTTTACCTTATATGCATATATCCTTAACAGTTTTAGTTTTGCACTTTATAGAAATGGACTTGTAGCATGCATCCTTCTATTTGCTTTTTTTCATTTAGCATTGTTTTGAGTTGACGCTTAGAACTATACTTCTTTCATTTCTATTAATATATAGTATTCTATCATATAAACGAACATTTAAGTTACTTGCAGTCTTTCCCTCTCTATTTCTCTACCATAAACAATCTTGTTATCTGTTTTCTGGTACACGTGTGCAAGAGTTTCTCCAAGGTTCAAACCTAGGAATGGAATTGCTGGGTAAACGGTATGCTTATACTCAACTTTATAGGTAATGTCAAACTATTTTCAAGTAATCACACCAATTAACATCCCTAGAAGATTCAGTACATGACAATTCATGTTGCTGTCATCATTGTTAATGTTGGTATTATCAGAGTTTTTATTTTTGGCCATTCTAGTGGATATAAAATGGTATTTCATTGTGGTTTTAATTTGCATTTTGCTGAATTATGATGAGGTTGAGCATTTTTTCATATGTTCATTGGCCAAAATGTTCCTTATTCTGTGAAGAATCCTTTGTCCATTTCTATATGGAGGTGTTTTTTTTTTTTTTAAAATAAATGCCCTTAATATATTCTGGATACTAACCTTTGTCAGTTATATGTAACAAATCTCTTCTTCCATTTTCTTTCAGCTCTTATTATTATAGTATACTCTACAGGGAAATGTTTTTTAGTGTTTTTCATTTTTTACAAAATTTACTTTAGCTTGTTTTTTCCTTTTCAGTGCAAGGGAAAAGACATTTCCTTCCGAATCAGGCTATGGAATTTTGCCAAGAGGTAAGAATTTCTAGGTAATATACCAAAGTTTCAATTGTTTCAATAAAAAGCAAACAACTGGTGCTCATTCTAAGTGTGCTCAAAAACTTCAGATTTTCTAACTAGAAACTTGATTATACCTCCCCTCTCAACTCTGATCCTTTATTGAAGAACATCTATATCCTGACAATATTCCAAGTGTTAGCAGGAGTTCAGAAACTCCTTGGGAAGGAAGCTCTGGAAGCAGAGCTTTGCTTTGCTTTCTCTGTTGGACATGACACGTCCTTCTCTTTTGCTTGTCCTTTGGAATCAGTCTTCTGGAAGGGGAACAAATTCTGAAGGAGGAAGAGGTGAAACCAGTGTCTTGACAAGTATTTTAAGTCTATACTGTGTCTACAGAACTTTTCTTTTAATCCCTAAGCTAATGTAAAATACATTTCATAAAAAGTAACAAAGATAATTTACACAGCACAAGAGTATAGGAATAGTTTTTTTTTAAGCATAAACCCTTTTGTAAATAAGCAAGTTTTGCCAGGTAAGTTAGGCAAACCTTAGGGAATAAGTAGATTTTTAAATCTGAAATTCTGGTATGTTCAGACTGTTTAACTCTTCCTCCTTAACTCACTTTTTAGAGCAGTGGTTATCCCAACTTTTGAGTGCATCATAATCTCCTGGCAGGCCTGTTAGGACACAGATCCCCAGGCCTCACCCCGAGAGGATAGGTCTGGGGTGGGCAGAGACTCTGCATTCTCAGCTGGTGCTGATGCTGCCGGTCAGGACCAAGTACAATTTTTCAGAACCATGTAAAATTTTGATGGATTCTCAGCAATCTCGTTTTGTTGAAAAGTTTTAAACTTTAGCTTTCTATATGAGTAATTTCTGAAAATTAATAGCCATATTCTAGATCTTTCGGATCACTTAAAAAAAAAAAAGCACTGTTGTAGGATTTCAGTTGCCATGTTTCACATTTATATTTATCACTGCATCAGCAGCAGGTAGAACGGCTTTAATTGTTCTAAACTAATAGAGGAAGCCTTAATATCTAACTGTGCATTTGCACAAAATAAAGGTCACAGGGCACTATGTAACCAAAGGTTTCTCTGAGATTCAAATAAAGAAAAACGGGAGACTTAAGTTCGCACATGGCAGGTAGCAGGACAGACACAATGAACTCAAAAAGAACTTGCAACGTAACAGCAAGTACCATATTCCCATCCAATAGCAATTTAGTTTTTTAAAAAACTCATCAATTAACACTAGGATCCACAATATTTTTTCCTTTAAAAGGGGTCTATAAACTATGTAAGTTTGAGAAGCACTGCTCTACTCTATTTAACCAATCTCCACT